AGGGTCCTACTTCCATTGTCTTCTTTCTCTCTGTATTAAAATGTAAACTTTCTTCCATCAGGGTGACTCCGGAGGACCCCTCAACTGTGTGAACGCACAAGGCGTCTGGGAGGTTCACGGTGTCGTTAGCTTCGGATCATCTCTGGGATGTAACTACTACAAGAAGCCCTCCGTCTTCACCCGCGTCTCTGAATATAACAGCTGGATCAGCACGGTCAGTACCCAACAGCGTATATTAAAGGGAATCTGAGACAATGTATTGTAAGGGAAATAATGGTAATGAAATCTGATCTCAGGCCTCCCCATCAGTCTTCTATCTGACCTCCATCCTTCCCTTCAGTCTTCTCTCTGACCTCCGTCCTTCCCTTCAGTCTTCTATCTGACCTCCAGCCTCCCCTTCAGCCTTCTATCTGACCTCCGTCCTTCCCTTCAGTCTTATATCTGACCTCCGTCACCCTAAATGCTCACGGGTCAGAAGGGTGGGCTTCCGATCATGTGACAGCCAATCACAGTGGTCACCTGATCAGGCCGTCACCTATTCATATTAACTCTTTCCTGTTCTCTCTTGTTTTGCAGACCATCGCGTCCAACTAAAGCCGACCTGCGATCTCGGAGTCTTCAGGGTATTTAGATGTTTCCCGATCATTCTCTACAAAGTTTCTGCATTTGGCTGATAAAGACTACAAAAAAAAACTGTCTCTGTGTTCTGGAGTAATAAAGTTATTTTCCTGTTATGAGTCGGTTCAATATTAACCATCGCTGTACACAATTTTAATTCGATGCGGAAGTTTTTCATCAATTAATCAGAAATAAACCCGACTGATGTGTCGCCTACGTGAATTCTGTGTGTATTATTTCACTGTGCCCCGTATAACCCTAACCGTCCTGTGCCTGAACCAGAGGAGCTAACACTCTAATGTCCTCGCCATGGTCACACACTACTATTATTTATATAGCTATGGCATATGTGCTGTACAGAGAACACTGAACCAGTCACATCAGTGTCTGTACGGAGGAGCTTACACTCTTATGTCCCCCCCCCCCCCCCACAGTCACCCACTATTATTATACATTTATATAGCTCTGACATATACCGCAGCGCTGTATAGGCAACACTGAGCCAGTCACATCAGTCTCTGTACCAGAGCAGCTTACACTCTAATGTCCCCCCCCCACAATCACACACTATTATAAATGTATATAGTGCTGACATATACCGCAGTGCTTTACAGAGAACACTGAGCCAGTCACATCAGTCTCTGCACCAGAGGAGCTTACACTCTAATGCCCCCCCTACAGTCACACACTAGTATTATACATTTATATAGCTCTGACATATACCGCAGCGCTGTACAGAGAACACTGATCCAGTCACATCAGTCTTTGTACAGAGGAGCTTACACTCTAATGTCCGCCCCTACAGTCACACACTATTATAAATGTATATAGTGCTGGCATATACCGCAGTGCTGTACAGAGAACACTGAGCCAGTCACCTCAGTCTCTGCACCAGAGGAGCTTACACTCTAATGCCCCCACCATGGTCACACACTATTATTATTTATATAGCTCTGACAAATACAGCAGTGCTGTACAGAGAACACGGAGCCAGTCACATCAGTCTCTGCACCAGAGGAGCTTTCATTTTAATGTCCCCCATAGCTGGATGGATGTGGATGTGTGTTCATAAATAAAATGAGATGCAGCTGATCAGATATGGCATATATTTGGAGGGAGATTGCCCTTTTGAGGTGTAAGGAGAGGTGACAGATTCGCTTTAGCGCATCCTCGGCATCCTTGGGGATCTCAGACCGGATTGGCTGATTCCATGACAGCCGGGGTTGCCCGGCAACCGGCTCCAAGCCATGGACCAGTCACGTGACGTTCTCTCGGCTCCGCTGACAGGTGGTTCTCCAGTGCGCACGCGCATACTCCGGGTCGACTGAACGGAACACGTGACGTACGGCGCATGCGTAATCGTGCCTGTGGTGACAGGAGGGTTACGGTGGCCGGGACGGGCTGCAACTGCGGGTCGCCATGACGCTCTTTCATTTCGGAAATTGTTTCGCCCTGGCCTATTTTCCTTATTTCATCACCTACAAGTGCAGCGGACTGTGAGTGGAACAGGGGTGACCGGGCTCCTGGGGTGGGTGAGAGAGGGTCACTGACTGACTGACACTGTGTGTATTACAGGTCCGAGTACAACGCCTTCTGGAGATGTGTGCAGGCCGGGGCCACCTATCTGTGTGTGCAGCTTTGCAAGGTGAGGGGAGAGGGGGACATCATGGCGGCTGTGAGGAGTACTTACGGTAGTACCATGTGGTTGACGGGAGGGGGGTCAAATCTGACACAGTATGTCCACTAGGGGAAGGCAGTATGGCTGCCAGGAGGAGGTAAAGTATGGCTGCCAGGAGGATTGGGGTTGGAGGTCGAATTGGGCAATATGGCTGCCAGGAATGGAGGTGCCTGGTGTGGCTGCTGGGGTTGTAGGTGTGCGGTGTAGCTGCAAGGAGTGTAGGTACCCAGTGTGGCTGCCGGGCAAGTAGGTGCCGGGCGAGTAGGTGCCCGGTGAGGCTGCCGGGCGAGTAGGTGCCTCAGCCAGGGGGACTGTGGAGTCTGGAGAGAAAGCACAAAAAGAGGGCGCCTTTCCTGGTGCAGGTAAATTTTATTCAAATATCAATATCAATGTTAAAAGGTACTCACAAATGTAAATTGGATAAAAGCCATAGATTGGTAGGTGAATGACAGGTAAGTGGACATCAGCTGAGTGGTTCCTATGTAGGAGGGAGT